TTTCCAAAAAAAAAAAAATGTTTGAATCAAAGTGCATTAAATATAATTTGAAAACAAAATTATTTTCCAAAAAAAAATACTCATGAATAAAGGTGTATTAAAGATATTCAAAATTTATATAAGAGATTTAATAACAAGTATATATATATATATATATATATAAACACACACACATACTTATATGTATTAACAAATACACATGAATCAAAGTACATTAAATACATATTTATATGTATTAACAAACAAGCATAAATTAAGGTGCATTAAAGATAAGAGATTTTGAATTAAATAATCTTAAAATGGACATTTATATCTTTGTAACTCAGTTGTGTACTTTTTTCTAAAATATTTTATTCTATGTATTTTTTGTCAATTAAATCTAATTAAGTGTACTAGCTTCCAAAGAACTCTACTATTACCGGGGCTGGCCGTCTGGGCGTGGCTTTTTGATGGTGGCATGAGCAATGTGTTGGTGATAAAAGTGGGTGACCGGAGAAAAATTGTTGTGGGGGGCCGTGCAGAGGTTGGGGATCCACCAATGTTGGTGGGTTCGACTAGGTTGGGTTGGGGTTGATTTGTTGGGCCTGATTATGTTTTTGCAATAAATTAAAAATAAATTTCTGATTGTCATTAATGTATTTTTGTAGTTTGGACAGAATTTGTCCACAAGAGGTAAGAAGTTTACCCATCAATCAATAGGTGGACAGAAAGATCAACAAGATCAAGAAACTTGGAGTAACTTCTACAAGCCAGGAAAAATATTGTCTAACAAACTCAGGCCACCACCGACAAAACTGCCCTCTTTCACCAGCAAATCTAATTGCTCATCCAAATGATTTCGAAAAATGAAATGCCAAATAAGAGTAAATTACATATAGAGAATGAATCACCAGAAAACAAGATCATCTCTGTTTGAAGCTACCCAAGAATATAAGTGAGGTGGACTGTTACACAATAAACGCTTAAAATTGTTTAGACTTCTTTCAATCTTTAAATGCCTTTTAAACTGCTGTTGCCTGGTATGCCGTTCACGTTCAGCACAGAAAGTTGATTCCATAAAGAAGGCTTCTATAACACTTTCCCCCAAAAAGATCAAATCTGGTACCTATTGAGCTTTATCCACGAGCTGCTCCAAAACAACAGAGCAACCATTGTAATTCAGAAGTAATTTTGTTCTTTCCCGTCTAGTTTCTCCAGTCAGTCAAACACCTGCATGGAAATACTTGAATCAATTACTCTAGTACCATAGCAACAAGTTAATAGCTTACGTAATTGTTTCTCCAAACTTTTGAAGCTTTTTGTTAATATGCATGCTCCCTGCCAAATAATTGCAGGGTCTTATCAGCGATCGATTTCATTTCCCTCTTGATTAACACCACAATGATAATCAAACCCTAAATCCCAGCCCTATCTAGTTATTGTACATCAATGATGTTTTTATAAGTAACTTTGCAAGCATTATAGCGGACAATGGAAAGGAGATAAGACGCTAGACTTTGAAGAATAAAAATACTATGTTGTGTGTGTGAAAGATAGGCACATACTAATATTTAATTAACTAAAAGCAAGATTTACATAACCAAACATATGTCAAAATTTGGAGTAATGGTTGAAGACCTGGAGTCCTCGATGATAAGTCCCTAGACCTGGTTTAGCTAAAGTTTATTCAAGCTGCATTTACCTATTCTTAATTATTTGGCTCTAACATCTGAAAGCATCCACAAACTTATACGTAGCAAATTTACTATCTAAATGGTGAAGTAGGAAAACTGGATTTGAATTTGTTAAGTGTAGAGGATTAACACAATATTAGAGAGAAATAGAGAGAGGTTATAACTTAACCTAACTCTCATACATCACTTGTATTTATAGTTAACTCATAATAATAAGAATTACACACTTTACACATACTACCTTAATATTCTTAACACTCCCCCTCAAATTGAACTATTTATATCATATAATCTAAGATTAGAACAAATCGCTGTAAAACGTGTATGACTCAATGCTTTGGTAAACATATCTGCAAGCTGATCTTTAAATTTCACAAATGGAATTGTAATCTCCCCAGCTATTATCTTGTCCAGAATAAAATTACAATCAACCTCAATGTTTGGCTCTCTCGTGAAACACTAGATTAACAGCGATATGATAGCTGTCTGGTTGTCACAGAACAACTGTAAAAGAAGTTGAACTGGAAACCCAATTTCCTGGAGGAAGTGTAGTAGCCAAGTCAACTCACTCGTCGTATGCGTCATTGCCCTATACTCAGCCTCAGTACTGGATCTTGTTACCACCAATTATTTCTTATTTTTCCATGAGACAATGTTACCTCTTAAAAAAGAACAAAAACTAGTGATTGATCTCCGATCAGAACGAGAGTCAGCCAAATCAGCATATGATAAACCTTCCACTCTAAGATGTCCATTAGCTCGATATAACAATCTAAGTCCAGGAGCTCGTTTGAGATATCACAGAATACAAACAACTATCTCCCAATGTGGTACTCTAGGACACCCCATAAACTGACTTACTATATTAACTGTATAAAAAATATTCAGTCGAGTAATAGTGAGATAATTAAACTTCCTAACCAATCTGCAATACCGGTCCGGATTCTCAAACAGTGTACCATCATTCATCAATGGTTTCTGATTCGGATCCATAGGAACATCAATTAGTTTGCCCCCCAGCAAACCTGTTTCCTCTGGCATGTCAAACACATATTTCTACTGTGATAAACAAATACCCTGTTTAGATCGAACCACTTCAATTCCTAAGAAATACCTGAATTTTCTTAAATTTTTAGTATGAAATCGATCTTGCAAGAAGATTTTTAGCTTGGCAATCCCCTCAGAATCATTTTCAGTGATTACAATATCATCTACATAGACCACCACTAGAACATATCCAGCATCCGTCTGTGTATGAAACACAGAATAGTCAGCCTGACATCGAAGAAGACCAAACTCTAAAATTGCATCCGAAAACTTATCAAACTATGCCTTCGGTGACTGCTTTAAACCATACAAAGATTTTTTTAACCGACATACACTCTTACCATACTCCACCTGAGCAGTAAACCCAGGTGGTTGCTCTATGTATACCTCTTCAACCAAGTCACCATGTAGGAAGGCATTCTTGACGTCTAACTGAAACAAGGGTCAATTAAGATTACCAGTCAAAGAAATCAAGATACGAACACAAAAAATTTTGGCAACAGGAGAGAAAATCTCCTCATAATCAACACTATAAGTTTGAGTAAAGCCCTTTGCAACAAGCCAGGCTTTGAGACGCTCCATAGAACCATCCGAATGAAATTTAACAGTATACACCCAACGACAACCAATAGTTCGTTTACCAAGAGATAAAGGAACAAGATCCCAAGCCCCATTATAATCTAAGATATCCATCTCATCCTCCATACCTTTCCTCCAACCCGGATCAGATATCGCATCCTGTAAATACTTAGGAACAGATATAGTAGATAATTAAGAGGTAAAACAAGAGAAGACAGAAGAAAAGGCACCAATATGAAACAAAATGAGTAATGAGATGATTAGTAACACACGAAGGAATACTTTTTCAAAGAGTAATAGGTAAGGAGTCTAAATTATCTGATCGACCGAGATCAGATTCATATTCCCGAGCATTATCAAAATGTAAAATATGTATACAACAACCATACCGAGTTTTTATTTTCTTACGAAAGATCTCAAATATAAAAAATAATTCAGACCAAGCTTTCATCAAAAACAACCAAGTCACACGAGAATAGTCATCCACAAATGACACAAAATAAGAATATTTATTAAATGAAATATTCTTTATTGGATCTCATACATCAGAATGTACCAACTCAAATGGACTAGACACAATTATTGACTCTAGACTGAAATGACACACGGTGATGCTTACTAAGTTGACAAGCTTTACAAAATAAAGACGACACACAACTGAGACTACGAACTTGGCGCTGCAAATTCTGAAGAGAAGGATGTCCAAGACGACAATGTCATGAAAAAAGAGACAACGAGATTTGCACAGCCCGAGTAGGTGAATCAAAATTAAAGTAATATAGGCCATCAGCTTTATGCACCGTACTAATCTTCCTCTTTGTCTTGAAATTCTAAAAAACACAATAAAATTGATAAAAGGTTATAGAACAATTGAGAGAACGAGTAATCTTACAAATGGAAAGTAAACTAAAAGAAAACTGAGGAACAAATAACACAGAAGATAGGGACATATCAAGACTCAAGTGAGTAGTCCTCAAACCTGAAACTTTAGAACAAGTACCATTAACAAGAGTAACACTACGTGTAAAAGTAACAGATTGATAAGGAGAAAAATCATCAGACGCACCAGTCATGTAGTCAGAAACGTCTATGATCCAGGGACTGCAAGTGGAGGACAATGAATAAGTGAAAGCAATATCTGACTGGACAAAGTAGCAGTGGAAGGAGATGGGACAGCCTGTTGCTGGGACAGGAACTGAGTATACTTCTCTCGTGTAATAGTAACCGACCCAGTGTCTAGTAGAGCTGAACGAGGTATGAGAGCAACAACAGAGGTATTATCCTGATAGGAAGCCTGATTCGCAGCACCAGAAGATTTTCCATGTAAATTCTAACAGAAATCAACAGTATGCCCTCCACGGCCACAGTGAGTACAAGAACGAGGTCCACTACGACCTCCACGACCACCTCGAGTACCATCACTGTGGCTACTAGGGACCACAAGAGCTGAGCGATCAATGGAAACACCATGCTCTGATTCCATCTTAATTGTAGCGGATTAACACAATATTAGAGAGAAACAGAGAGCGGTTAAAACTTAACCTACCTCTCATATATCACTTGTATTTATAGTTAACTCACAATAATAAGAATTATACATACACCCTTTTACTATTAACACTTTACACATACTACCCTAATATTATTAACAGAATTCATTAGTGTCCAAGGCATATGAAGAAATCAAAAAAGCAAAAAAGTTTAAGACCAGCTCTTTTGAGAATTATCTCCAATAAATTGAACACCAATGGCAAACCTGACAGTTCTGAGACAAGAGAGGTTCCAAAAAAGCATATGACACAGATAAGCACTAAAGAAGCATAAACAGCCACAGATATCCAAGAACGAAAACAAAACCACACAAAACAAGAGAAAGGGAGGACTGCGACTTTTCCCATCAACATGGAGAGGTCAGAGAATTGCCTAGGGAAAGAGAAGATAATTTTTTTTTAAATAATCAATAAAGAACTTACAAGTAATGAAAAGAAATATTTGTTTTCAAAAAAATTAACTTACTTGAACGGTATCTCGGAAGGGGAATATCTCGTAGCTCATATTTTCTGCACAAATATTCACCTAACAATGCCATCACCGCAAGCCCAGTACCATTTACAACCCACCATGTTATTGATGAAGGCCAGCCCCCATATATGATGCATAGAAAGAGATGGATTACATACAGGGTGGCCGAAAAATCTAAGCACTTCTTCGACCTTTCAATCAAATAAAGCAGATAACCAGCTCTGATAAAAAATAAAACAAAAAAATTATGAGCAGGTCAGCACATTTTTTTTTGATAAAGACCTTACATGCTTGATTATTGTTGCCCTTAAGCCTGCTATGGTCATAGTATTTCTTTGGCAAGAGTAATTAGCATAAGCTAATAAGTTTATGTTCATTGACTAAGGGCATAGTATCTCATTAATTTCCACCTTTGATCAAAGTAAAGAAGGGTCTCATACATCCTATGTAGCGCAGCAATACCAGTAAACCACCAAAGGGAAAAAGAGACCTAGTTAGTCAACCAAGTCAACCCCTGATCCCACCCTGCAGTCACAAGTATGAGGCCCAAGACTGGCTTCATTTACTGTCTGATTCTTACAGACATTTAAAAATTGGTTAACAACGATTTACATAATAAATTAGGTATCTTTGGTTTTGATCAAATACTTTTGAAAGAAGTTTTATAACAGTAACACAAGCTGAAGGATATACAGTCCTAATTCAAGCTTACAAATTGTTATGTGGGGAAATTCTTCATATCTCCTGACTGAACATGTCAATAATCATCCAAGAATTATAACAATGGAGTTCACATTAACCAAATTATTACCCCTACATCTATAATTTCAAAGGGAATCAAATAGCCTACAAAATTAAGTACCAAAAAATTAAGAATCACACTATTCTAAAAAGGCAAACAACTAAACAAATAAAAATAGAAAATTAGACACGATATACAAACAAAATGGAAATAGTATTTGTACATAAAGTGAGAAAATGAAACTCACCCGGCAAGCGAGCTGAGTATAAACGAACCAATGACACACCAACCGGTGACCGTGGTGGTACCAACAGTAGCGTAATCAAAGAAATACACTAGACTCATTCTAGAAACGCGAGTCCCAACAAGAATTGTTAAGAAAACTCCCAGTGTTACATAGTACAAGCATTGAAGACAAACAATTTGGGCAACAATTAGCCATGGATCCCACACCACTGCACCATAGAACATGACTCTAAACCTCTCTGGAAGCAACCTTTTTCCCAATTTTCTCAGATACTCTTTATGTTTGTTAAAAGACAAAAGTTTCGAAGAACAGATGAAAACACAATTGAGGAGAAACCAAAAATCAAACCCAATTTTCTCAAATTTCAGATCTAATGTACAATCAAAATCCACAGATTGTTGATTCGTATACTAATCGCCAACTGCTTAAGAATGGTCAAATCAAATAGGAGGAGGAGGAGGAGACGTACTGACAGCAGAACTCTAATTGAAACCAAGAGAGACAGAGGAGGAGGAGACCCTGGGTTCTGGATGTTGAAATGAACATTTCTGGAAGTTAATCGAACCGTTGTGCTAAGAATTTTGGGGTTTGAATCATGAAAGCTTCAGATTCAACAGAGATTTCAATTATTTGGTAGAGGAAAATGAAATTTGAGAGAGAGAGAGAGAGAGAGAGCGACCTAGATCGAGAATGATTGGTCTAACAACACTGTGTTAGGACAGGCAATTGGAGAGTGAGGGGAACTAGGGTACTCGTCTCCACCTGAACCCGTTTTAGGGTAATTGATCGTTAATGTATTTTGTCATGAGTGTATACAATTGTAACGGTTGCGTCCAAAGGACATAGATTTTTTCATTTTTATACGATGACGTATCTGCTTTGTAGGGTGGTCTACAGGTGAAATTTGGATATTTCTCGCAACTCATCAGAGTTAATCACCCATATTTTTTTAAATTAGTTCAAATTATGGTAATCTGTTCATAGTTTAAGAGAATAATCAACATAAAATTAAAATTTTATAGCAAAAAAAGACTTTTTTTTCCAGACTATCAAGAAATCAATGTCATTTTATCGTATCGATTAATTATTTCTTTAATCTTTTCAAAAGTCAATTATTCATGTTAAAACTATAAAATTCATAAAACATAAATATCTCGTGATCAGACCAAATTGTCAATACTTGATCTTATTTGTTAATTATAATGGTTTTTTGCACTTTGCATCATAATTTTTTTTTACAACTTCTACGTTGTATATTGAAATATTAAATTTTTATATTGCATACTTAATATACTAAAAATATTGCATTATACTTCTTCAGTTAACTTCCGTTATTTTTTTTTGTCAAATATCAACTCAATCACATTGACGAGAAAACTAACATAAGTGTTATATAACAATATTTTTAATACATTGAAGATGTAATGTAAAAAAAATTCAAACTTTAAGAGTGTAAAGTGCAATTAATCCTAATTATAATTAGTCATTGAATGCAAGAGTTACCCATGAGAGTTCGAACTCAACACGTACAAGTTCGATGGTGTAACCCAAAATTAATTCTATACAATCGAGTGGATGGTGCGTTCTAGATTTAACTCTAAGCAATTAAATTGTTACCCGTGCATAACAATTTTATTAGAGATAAGCACTAATGACTAAACCCCGGCGGTCGATCAGTAACGTTGTGCATATTTTAGTAATCATAAGTCGGTTCTTTATTTTAATATTATTTTAAAGTGGTCATAAAAGCTTCACACCATAATTTAAAAGCGCATAAGGTAATTTCTCTTCATAGAAGAGAGTAATCGGTTGAAGATCTAGATATTGACATTGTCATAGTTGCTAAAAAAAATTAAAAAAAATTGATAAAGCGTAAGATCAAAAAATTTATAAAAAAAATTTGTTAATGTATTTTTTTTGAATAAAAATTTCGTCGACGTAAAAACTCGAATGTGTGTATTGAATAAAAGAATGACTAGTATGTTAATATGTGCACATCATCTCAAGTTTGCGCAAAAAAGTTTTGATTAAGGGGTCAAAATATGATATGACTCGTTAATATGATACGAACACAACATAAAATTAGAGGATTTGAGTTTTGTTTAAGCCACCCATTTCATAATTGAGTGAATTCAACACGACACGATTAATAAAAAAATTGAATAAGGGTAAAATTAATAAAAAAAAAAAATACACAGCACGACTCATTTTTGTATCAGTTATACACGAATCATACACAATACAAACTTGATATGATATGACTTATAAAACACAAATTAATAAATGAATCGGGTATAAATAAAATATTTTTTGACACAAATTTATCTCAGTCGATACAAATGTGCCTAACCCAACACGATTGATAAGCCTAATTTTTAGGGATGTTAAAAATCATTTATTTAGCTAACATTTTCCTTTCGCGATTATGTCTAATATATTTTGCATTTAATTGTGTGGGAATCCTTGGCCACTCAACATAGTGACGATGAGGATGAGAAAGGTACGGGAAGACCAAAATAGAAAATGTATATACATATATAAAAATAGAGACTCAAAATTATAACAAGGCCGCATAGCGCAGTGGATTAGCGCGTTTGACTTCGGATCAAAAGGTCGTGGGTTCGACTCCCACTGTGGTCGGGAACAATGTAAATTTTTCTTAAAAATTAGTCTTTTTTCTGACTAAAAGATAAACATAAACTAACTTTTTTCTTCTCCCGCTACAGTTTTATTTTATCCAACATTCGTTCGGCCAAGAAATTAAATCCTTCTGTTGAATTTGGCATTTATTTTTGCACTTTTCTATTTTGGATTTTTTATCTTTTTTAAAAAAATATGCATGTAAAATGCATTTTTCGATGTTAGAACACCATCTCACCTAAAAATAAATAAATTTCAATTATTGGGGAGGTTTTTATTCAACACGTCCATGAATGTTAAAGTACAATCTCATCTAAAAATAAACTTAAGTTGTTAGAGATGGTAATTTAATATGTTTTCTCATGTATAACCTTGATATTAGGTCAAACGCTTAAAAGTAATATAATTATTTAGGTGATAGTTAATTTCAAACGCAAGATTGTCTATAATGTGATGCTATTGGAAAAGGTGTAACATAAAATTTGTTATACATTAATACTATCTAAAACACCAAACTTTGTAACTCACCCATCTTTTGGTAGGATAGATGAATAAAAAAGGGAAAAAGAAAAGAAGAGGGATATACACTTCTCACTCTCAAAGGAAAGAAGCATTCATTCCCTCATTTGTATTTTGTAGGAGTGATAAGAATTAGGAGGAATTGAAATTTTTTTTTTTTATGTTTGGTATGATAGAAAGTGAAAGCAAAGAACAAGTATATATGCAAATAATTATTATTGTATCTATTTATCGAAATATTAAGGGTTAATTATAAAATACCCCCTTGAACTTTAGGTCTTATTTTAATCAGATTCCTCTGGTTTAAAATTGAACAAGTTGTCCCCTTAATGTTTGAATAATTTTTAATTAACTCCTACCGTTAGTTGATCTCTTTTACACATGATTTAAATTAATCAAAAACCCACAACTACTCTTGTCTTTGTCTAAAATTCAAAATTGAAAGAGAAAATTCAAGTCTATTGAAAACTCAATTCACTTGAAAAACCCAAATCCCTCCCCCCTTCTTCCATTGCAACTGAAACTCACCCCCAACCCACCACCCACCCCACCTTTCCCTCAACTCCCTAATCCGGCCTCCTCATTCATTGAACCGAAACCCAAATCCCCTCTCCTCCACTGAAACTGAAACCCACCCCCACCCTTCCCGTAACTCAACTCTTTAATCGGACTCCATAGAACTGAAAACCCAACCCCACTGAAACCCTCCCTCTTCACTGTGGATCTGGTGATTGTGGCTGGGTGGTTGAGTGGTGGCTACGATGATTTGTGCTTGGGTGGCTGGGTGGCTGGGCGGTAGCTATAGTGTTTTGTGGATGTGTTGGTGGCTACGATGGTCGTTGGCTGGTTGGTTGGGTGATGGATAGGGTGGTTGAGTGATTGGGTGATGGCTACGATGGTTTTTGGATTGGTTGATTATGGCTACAGTGGATATGGCTGGGTGGGGGCTACGGTGGTTTGTGGGCTGGTTGTAACTGCGATGGTTGGTGGTTATGGCTGGGTGGTTTGGTGGTGGCTGCGATGGTTGTGGTTGTTGGCTGGGTCATGGTTACGATGGTTTGTAGTTGGTGGCATTGGAGATTTTGGCTCAATTGGGTAAAGAAAAATGAAAGAAAATGGAGATGAATAACGGCTGAGGGTACAAAAATAATTTTAAAGTTTTTGTCTAATTAACCAGTCAACTAGTTAATTTTAGAACTTGAAGGGGACAAATTGTTCAATTTTAAACTAGAGGGATCTGATTGAAATAAGACCCAAAGTTCAAGGAGGTATTTTGCAATTAACCCTAAAACTAATATATCTATATTATGTAATAGATAAGTAAGAATTTATGCATATAATAAACGTTTTAATTTAAATAACTTGTATTTTAACACTAATAATTAATTTTTCTTTCTTTTTTTTTTCCACTTTTGGTGGCTACATTTTTGTAGGTTGAAAAGAAAATAATACCTATGTTTTATTAACGTTTTCCTTAAACTTAATAACTTTTACATTAAGAGTAAAGTAAAAGACTAAAGCTTCAAGAAATAGAACCCCGTGATACAGGGACTCAACACTAGCCAGCATCTTCTACTGCAACTTACAACAACATATAAGGCTCAAAAAGTACTTATACTACAAAGATTATATTACAAAGAAAAGACAGGTAGTGAATTAATAGATACGGTTGAGTCAGTTATCGATTCAAATGCGGTACAACATTACAAAGAAGAACTGGGTCCTTGCTTTAATTAAATTATCATCATCCATAAATGTGTGGACCAAGAAGCTCATCATCGAGTAGAAAGATAATTCTGTCGTTGCTTGAGCGGGGACTTTTTTCGTTTGACCTTTTCTCCATTTCTCTTTCTATCTCTCTTATACGATCGGTCAAAATCTCCTCATAGCGGCATTCATAACTGCAGAATGTTCCGTCGCCTCTGCAAGTTTAACTTCCTATCATAATTAACCATTGCTGCAAAATCTAAGAAAATTTTATCCCACATGTACCATGAGTTATAATGAATTTTTCAACTTATTGCTCTTTATTTGTAACATTCATTTAAACTCGTGGTTTATAATA